AGCGGTGCGAGCCAGTCCGAGGCATCGGCTGTGACTCGCGACACGACCAGGACGGGCTTGTCTGTCTTGGCTAGACCGGGACATTGGCCCCGGGCTTCGGGGAGTTGCTTTGCGGTCGTCTCATAGGTGATGGTGGTCCAGGCGAAGGGCCGACCGGGAGGGGATGGCCGGTTGAGGAAGAGGATGAGGCCGAGGATTCCGGCGAAGATGGCCAGATGGAAGAGACTGCGACGGGTCCGGCGCCTCATGATGAGGTGCTGCTATAGGGAACAGGCAGCAGATCAGATGGAATTAAATTATCGCTAGTTATCTCCAATTCTAATGCGTTGGGATCGGGGCTGCACGTCCTGACTAAGCGGCAGAACGAACCACTCGGAATCTCGCGGATGATCGGCATTAGTATTGCTTGTCTGTACAAGAGAATATGGGGATAAATCCAGAACATATCAATTAATCCACATATTGGCCTTAAGGCAGCCGGATGTGTGCCAAGATTTCTATACTTCTATTTGTTGAAGATAGATACAGTGCTTGACAAGATGCCCGCCAATCCTTCGCACGATCTACGGCTTTCCGCATCATCTGATATTCGCTCAAAAACATACAGACAGCGTTCGATCAATAGCAAAGATGTTCTCTTTATAGAGGGGGCTCTGTGGTCTGTTGCTGATGGGGTCAGAGGATGACCTTCAGAATTAACAGACGCCTAAATGACTGAGATGGATGATGCTCGATTAGGTGCAGCGCATATCCCCTCTCACTTATACCGCGCACAGAGGTATGCCTTCTTGAAGTGGAATGCATTGCCAGCATAGATCTACCATACATTATGATATTGACAAAGTCGTATGCGAAAAATTGCGCCGGTTTGTGGTTTTTAGTGACGACTGTGTAGCCATCCTTTGTCCTCAGATATATGCCGATAGCACCAATGAGTTTGGGCTACTTGAGGGTATTGTTTAGTCAATACTCAAAGATGTTTGAGAGTCATGCTTCCCGGAAAATACGATTCGCAAAGGTGGGAACCTTCGTGTGTGGACCCTTGAAAAACGTCGATATGATAGCAAGCGTGTCGGCTTCATCGTACGCGTAATTCTCACTTTACCACGAAGTCTAGATTAGCAACCACTATGTTACAAATATCAGTTCCACATTCAAACATCCTACTCCAGCACATGCAACTAGTAAAGATCAAACATCCCTGCCGCGTGGCCACCTGTCAACGGCCCAAGATAAGCCCCTCTGAGGCATACGCGGCCCTGCAGGTGATGTGACCCGTCCATCAAATCTGGTTGCAGTAACCGCTGCAGGTCCCGTATCTTTCTTTCAGTTCTGACTGCAGCACAAGGTTAGAGTTCTTCGTGTGTGGCCTGCATTTCGGGGTGGCTTCGGCTCGGTCCTTTCTTGTGAAACCTTGATGGTAGCCACTCGGCGGGTTCCCGGATTGTGGACCGGACTGGGCGTGCTTGGCGATGGGCTTATAGGATGGTTGATTTTGATTACGACCGGACGAGGTAGAGGTTTTAAGTGAGGGGATGGTGGGGAAAGTAGATAGGAATGGAATGGGGCTGAGCTGTATGGGGCCGTAGTTATATATATATGATGTGATGAACGGGTGGGGATGGACACTGAAGAACGAGGTACTAGGTACGAGTAGGACAATGAATATACAAGATCACATTTGGATGATCTGGAGCTCATTAGAGACATACAAAAGAGGATGTTACTACGAAGTGCTACAACTTTAGCATTGCTAAAGCTCATACCGGTGCTGACCGCATGCACCACATGTGGTACATCCACAACAAACAATCCTAAGACAAACAAAAATATACATCAAACCAGATTACGTAGATTATGTACGGAGCTCGATATATCCAAAACCAATAAACAAAAACTGACCAAACCAAACCAGACTAAACAACCAAACCCACAATGCTCCATCTCATCCGTTCACATTACATCAACCCAACATCCCCTCCACCCCACCCCCCCTCAACGAATGCCACAAATCCTGACACGCATCCTGCAACGACTTCTCCGCCTCCCACCCCAACTCACAAGCTGCCCTCTTCGGCACCGCCACGCACTCCTGCACATCCCCCGGCCTCCTATCGGCCAGCCGTTTCGGGATATCCTGATGACTGACGCCTTCCATAGCAGCCACCACCTCAGCAACAGAATGCCCTCGCCCCGTCCCTAGGTTAAACGTGCGAAAGTTCGTCTTCACCTTCCCCGCCAGCGCGGCCGCCAGGGCTGCGGTATGTCCGCGCGCCACGTCCGACACGTGGATGAAGTCGCGGATAGCAGTGCCATCGGGTGTCGCCCAGTCTGTGCCGTAGACAGATAGAGCTGGCAGCTGGCCCGTCAGGACTTGCACAACTACGGGGACGAGATTTGAAGGTGTTCCGCGGGGATCTTCACCGAGGAGACCAGACGGGTCGCATCCAATAGGGTTGAAGTATCGGAGACCTATAATGGTCCAGGATGGATCGGAGGCAGCTACATCGGAGAGAATAGCTTCACCCATCCATTTCGTGCGGCCGTAGGGGTTTGTGATTCCCGTGCAGCCTTGCTCGGATGTTATAGGCTCGCTAGAGGAGTTGTTGTAGTAGGTTTCTGGTTGGTGCACGCAGTGCTCCTCGCGCAGGGTGCCGTGGTTCTGGGCTAATGTGCCGTAGACGTTGGCCGAGGAGGAGAAGATGAAGGTTTTGATGTCGTGGTCTGCGAGTAAGCTGACTAGGTCTACTAAGCCCGTGACGTTGTTGTGGTAGTACTTGAGGGGATTGCGTAAACTGTCGTTGACGTCCTTGAATGCGGCGAAGTGGATCACTCCAGTGATTCTGGATCGGGACGGAGTGCTGTTATTGTTGGTGTCTGGTGATGGCTCCACTGTGTACGAGGCCAGTAGAGCGCGCATGGCGGGCATATCGCGAAAGTCGATGCATCTCAGCTCGGCTCGCGGACAGTGGCCGCCTGCTCGGTCGAAGTGTTGCTTGGCTGCTAGCAGGATCCGGTCGAAGACGTGGTCGAAGCTATTGCTCAGGTCATCCACGATGATCACGTTGTAGCCCGCCTTGAGCAGCTCCAGCGAGGTGTGGCTGCCGATGTATCCCAGTCCCCCGGTGACGAGTACATATGGGGCGTCATCTTCTAGGCGCAGTGAAGGTTCGTCAAAGTATTCGTCCCGCTCGGTTTCGGGTGTCGCAGGCGCGGAGAACAAGGGCGTGGGCACCGGCGAGCTTCCTTCTGAGGTACAGATAACAGACATGGCGCAGCTAATGGAGAAATTACAAAGGAATAGATAACAATGATAGCAATAGCAGCAGCAGCCGTGACGAACGGGATCTGACCACGATGATGACGAGGCCAATATAATCCACGAACTCTCTTCGCGAGTTTTGACAAGTCTAGATTCTCACCAGGCCAGTATAATTCGCGAACTTAAGCACTACAGAAAAGCTACTCTGGCTGGGCGAAACCCGGACTGGAAGTACTTGAGATCGTGGGACTTGCCCTCCACTTGCTTTCTCCTCCCTTCCCCCCCCTTTCCCGTGTTCAGGGCTCATCGCTCCAGCTACGCTATGCCCGCATCGGTTGGCAGGAGCCCGATGATTTCATCATCGCCATTGAGTCAGTGTCCTTGGCCCGGTCTGCCTACCACATAAGACCGGCGCCTGCCGCCCTAGTGAGGGACGAACGCAGCGTGGTTCATGTTCGTCCGACGACCAGGCGGCGACAAGCGACAAAAGTGTGTCTAGGGCATGATGCGCCGGGATCTGCCTTGTGTTTTTATTTTGGGAGATAATTGGCGATCGTAATTGACATCGAATCAATTAGGCCACGCGAGCCAGCCAGGCTAACAAGGCATTGGCGGTTCAAGGTTCGACCGCGGGCTTGCTAGTTCTACATTTACTGGTGGGAAAGGAAGAGACTAAGGGCAAAAAGGGAGGCATTGGGGCAGAAAAGAGGAATGAAGAGATGACGGCAGTTCTGGGTCTGCAGTAGCTTATCTAGTGGTGCTTTAGTATGCATTAGACCCATGTTGGCCATCTCTGACTCTGCCGGATCGGCTCCGTGGCATGACGGCGGCAATTCTGACAATTAATTTATTTTCTGAGCTAGTTGGAAGCCTGGCCAGGTCTGTTTGTCTGTCTGACAGGTTGGACCGACTTGCTTGCCTTGATGTCAAGGAGACTTGTCTGCCATGAGGTCTGGCGTGATTTTAAGGGATGTAAATGTGATTCATGGCAGAAATTGGTGCTGCGAGGAGAGAGACACTGAAGCATGCAGGTCTCGGTCGGAATAAGCCCTAGTTTCAACCGTGCAGGGCCAGCGCATCTGCTATTCTCCTATCTTCCTGTCTTCCTGCCTTTCTTGCCTCTTCGTATCGACGGCCGGTGAGGTGTCCTCCGTACCTGAAGCTGCACCTCCGGGCGTCAGGCAATGGGAACCTGCAGATACGAAGGCAAAAAGAAACGGTGAGATTGTGATTTGTAAGAAATGACATTTTCGTGTCTTCTTTTTTTTCTTTTATTTGCCTCTCAGCCACTGCAGGCTACCTGTCTAGCTAAGCAACAACGTATTGTACTCGCAGAAAGTGGCTTTCCAAAAATGTCCGACTTCCCGAACATCCCGATCAGCGCCAAGAAGGGGGCGAGGAAAAGAAAGGGAAAGAAATCCGCCATGACTATCCGGAGTACTGCATCTCCGTGAAAACTGATGAGACACAGAGAAGTACAAGAAAAAAAGAAAAAAAAAGAGAGGGGCTCCCTTGCGTGCGACCCATCGAAATTGACACGTTCGACCAGTCAGAGAACAGAGAACAGAGAGGGACAGCAAAAGTTGATGGGGGTTTCCGGACTCCACCGGTTCATGGTTCCCCTTGTTTTAAGATGATGGAGACACACAAGAAAGAAAGGGATTGGGATCCAGTTTTTAGCTAAGCGGATACTCTCGTTACTGTAGTTAACTAGTTAACTATCTAACTAACTATCTATCTACTGTGCCTGTTCCGACAGAGACTCCATCAACATGCCCCAGCTGGAGGGACCAAAGCGCTCGTAGAAATCGCCTACGATTTCCGTGACAAATATGTAGGCGGCACGACGACGCAGATCACGCACCAGAGCAGGCAAATGATGGTTCGGGACTTCCGTGACCATGTAACCGCAGCGATCGCGAGGATAGGGAAGCTCGCCTAGACGATGTTGCACCTCATTGGTTTGCCAGCGTGCAAATGGCTCCTCACAGACCAGCAGGAGATCTGAGCCTGCATCGGCCATCTCGGGATCTGGGGGGGTACCTGGGTTGTGAACCACCTGCAGACATCGTCATGGTTATTATCATTATTAAAATAGCCTGGAATCAACCACGTTGTTCCATGTTTTCTCATTTGTCGGGTTTCAAATGAGAACAGCAGAACAGCTGTCAGATTTTTCTTTTGTTTTTTTTCATCCCCTCCACCAAGGTAGAGAAAGAGGAGAAAGAGAGAGGGGTAGTGGCTGAACCAAGGAAAACTCATAATAATAATAATAATAATAATAATAACGCTCATAATAAGAAAGAACAACATAATGCTTACCAATCGATCGCGGAGAAGCCCCGAGCAATTCTTGATGTGACGATGAAGCGCACGCAAATACTCGGCCTGAGCGGCATTGAAGTGGTTGGGAGTCTCATCGACCATGATGCCACCCACGCCTAAACCCGTCGTGGCATACTCGGCGGCCCAGCTGGCATAGCGATCGATCTCCTCACAGGCAGCGGCCAATGGCTTTCGGCAATAGTCGATGCGGATATAGCCGACCGGATAGACATTAGGGCAGGCATTCAGGCGGGCCACTTCGCGCGCATAGTTGGCATCGGGGCACGGCAAGGCACCCGGTCCACTGTTGGGGTTGACGATCACCAGGAACTCGAGCTCGGGATAGGCAGCAATTCTACACAGTACACACCTCTCTCCATCAGTCACTCTGCGAGGGGAAGATGAAAATAAAATGTAGGCGATACACCAGAGAGATAGAGAATAGAAAAAAAAAGCAAGCAAGCAAACAAGAACGAAGGTAGGTAGGTAAACTTTACGCGTCATAAAGTGGATCCCAGGTGGTCGGCGTTAAGGGATAGATATACAAGGGCACGAGCACGCCTGATTTGGGAAGCGTCGTGGTGGCCATCGGATCAAGGCTGGATAGGGAATAGAGGTGGACGGAGGTGGGAAGTTGACACTGGAAGAGGAGAATTGGGGGGCAGACAAAACTGGGAAGACAATAACAAGAACAAGAGAGAATGGGGACTAGCGGTGGCCAGGTTTTGTCTTCAGCAATCAACTAACTACCAGTCTTATACGAGATACCAGGGCATAAATTCATTTACATGAAGTCGCTAGCCAAGAGAACGACGTGGACACCGCAGCCCAGGGCAGACACTGTGAATGGGGAGATTACTGTACACAATAGCATTCGGGTGATATAGTCGAGATAGCCTCTTGACTCTTTGTCCTGTCTGTGCCTGCCCTGAAAGCCGAAAAAACCAAGGAATAAGCAAAGAAGAAAAAGTACCACAACGCCATTCCCGCGCTAAACCATGGACCAAGGCCTGGCCGGCGTCTCCAAGCTTTTCCCTTACAAACCTTCCCCTGCCGGCTGCAGTTGGTGTATCTCACACCAATCACATCCTCCGATCGGAGAACCTGACCTGGCCAACTCACAACGTATCTTGGTCCAAGTGGACCTTCCACTTTTAGCGCCAGATACTAGTCGAAGGAAAAAAAACCTAGAGTTGTTCGAACTTCGAACTTCCATCGAAAGCGACCGTCCCAGGGTTATCGAATTTTGGTGCGGCGGGAGCCACAGGCGGGATCAACCCACCACTCATCGTTCAGGTCGGCATCACGTCGCAGATGGTCTCACCCTCCGGATCGAAACTCTCGTAGTAGTCTTCCGTCAATGTGGTCAGGAAGAGATACCCGGCCTTTCGGCTCATCTGGTTGACAAAACTGCGCAACGTGCCGTTGCTGAGATTGTCAGGGACCGAGTGCAGCATATACGCATATGCCGTGCGATTCGACGCCATGGCATTCAGACTATGCTTTTCCGTGTGAAAATCCTGATAGGAACTCTCAAACACCACTGTGACGTCCGTCGCGTTGTTCTCGTAGCGACTATCCGGAATGGTACCGGGATTGTGGATCACCTAAAGGGCAGATCCGCCAGGAAAAAGTTAGCCTCTCGGATCGTCATAGCCAGAGAATTTTCTGCTCTCTTGCTGCACCCGAACCGCGGTCTCGCTTACCATGCGATCTCGGCGCAATCCCGACGAACTCTTGACGGCCTCGCTGATCGTCTGCATGTACTCAGCCTTTGCTGCCGAGTAGTCATAGGGGGCTTCGTCGAAGAAAATCCCGTCCATCGCTAGTGTCAGCGATCGATTCGCCCACCCGGCATAAGTGGCAACATCATCCAGCACAGCGGTGATGTTGCGCGTGGCATAAGCTGTGCGCACATATCCAACCTTGCGTACATTGGAATATGTGCTAAGCCGTTCCACCGAGGAGGTATAGTCCTCCGAGGGATACGCACTGGAGCCGGGCCCGCTCGAGGGGTTGATGATGACCGTGAAGTTCAGGTCCGGGTGCGTCGTGACCCTGGGACTGTCAGTCACCGTGCGCAATGCAATCGGGGGTATGTGTGTTTCAGGTTCAACATACGATTCATATAAAGGGTCCCATGTACTGTCATTGGTGGGGTAGATGTATAGTGGGAATAGAACATTCGTCTTCTCACCACCATGCTTGCGAGTTAATAGGACTGCGCAGGGAACAACAATGACAATAATGATCACCACGGCAATGGCGATGGAGATAGCGATGCACCAAGGCCGCCGGGGGCGCGTGAGATTAGGGCGAGGCATCCATGCGGCAGCCAGTCCGAGCTGGCGAGGGTTAGTTGAGAAGATAGAGTATAGTCTAGCTAAAGACGCAAGTTGAGTTCCGGCCTCTGCCCGGTCTAGATAGACGGCGCGCAGGAAATGATATAAACCAGAGGTGGAATCCGGCCAAGAGCAAAGTCCCGGACTCGCCGGACTCAAACGAAGGAACTAGATCGTTGTGATTCGCTCGCCATGTGGCGCGATAACAACCAAGGATGGAGTGCTATTGGGATCTAATGGCAATCGAGGCTGTTGACAAGACCGTGCTTTTGAGGTGCATAGAGCGTGGCGAGGACAGCAGAGGCAGCCAGAGCCCCGTATTCGAGTCAGACATGCATAGACCCCCCCACGTTAGCGCCGCTTTTGTGCCCACCAGTCCACTGGGAAGTCCCTGTCGGTTCGAGGGCCCAAAAGAAGAAATGCAGTCAGAACAGAGAAAAAAAAAAGAACGTAACGGGAAAGGGAAACTCCCGCTATGCTTGGTGCTGGCTGCTAAACTAACGCCTGCTCAGCTGGCTGGCGCTAGACCCTTTAATCACATATGAGTTTTTTTTTCTGCCTTTTTCTTTGGGTCAGCGGTAGGTTCCAGAGATACATGCATCTGCTATAAATAGTTATATTAAATGAAGAGATGGCGCCTCCCTTGGCGGCTTGAAAGGGAGCTTGACTTGGGTAGTCAGCGATTCTTATCGCCCTAGATAATAATTATCACTTAGGTACCCCGTCCACAGTCGGGTCAAGCAGCGGTGTTGAGTGTTCGACAAGCTGCCTGCCACCATGGGACTGGAATACCTGGGTCTGGATGCCGTGGGATGGCATCGAATGACCACAACATGGTGGGATAAGGTACGTATGAATTCTCTGCTGGGAAAAGAAAAACAAATCCCTTGTCTCCCGTCCTTCCTCTGACAATCGCAACGTTTAGGTGATAGCAGCATGTTTATTAACGACCATTGTTCTTGGTGCTGTATTCATTCTGAGCTTTATAGCTCGGAAGATCTACAGAATCTGGCAGGTATGTCGTGCTGTCGTCCATTTCGTTTATCGCCGTGAGGAATGCGCTGACGATTGGCTTTTGCGGTGGGAGTTTAGGGGCGGCATCAACTCTCTGTGGTCCCAACGGCCATTGCCCGTTATTTGGACCAACTCAAAACAAACAACGCCCCCCTTGCGTCGGAGAAACCGCCCGCGAAGGAGCTTAAATCGTTTGGTGTTTTTCTCGGCGGGTTTTCCAATCCTCCGACACCTGCCGAAGCCCATTTGCTATCGCAATGGGATATTCTCGTCGTAGATCCCCTCCAACCCGGGGTTTTGGACGCGCTTACGGGTCACTGCACGTCATCGCACATTCTTGCGCGCCTTGACGTCCGAAGTATAGTGCGGTCTGATGCCTGTCGCAACAATGATGAAGCCCTCCAAGCTCTGGAAACGGTTGTCCAGACGCTATCCAGTACTCTCAAGCGCGGCCAGAGCAGCACATCGCCCTTTCACGGCGTACTCTTGGCCGATTGCCACGCGCATTTCCAACCCGTGATCTTGAATGAATTGGTCAAGTACATGAACCACGTCGGGCTAGCTGTATGGCTGGAATTGGCGCCACCAGCCTACCTCAGTGAGGAGCAAGGCCGGGCCATTAACATGCAGCAAATTCGTGGTGTGGTGTATAGAAATGGTACAATCTTGCAAAATGGAGATAGGCGCAATTATTTCCAGATGGCCGAGATGCGTACTGCCATGCGGGCCGTGGCATCCCAGAAAGCTGTTGGCGACTCGGCTATTGCTATGTGGGATACGATTGACGACAACGTCGAACTCACGCATCACGTTCTCGGACGCAGCTTCAAGTGGTGCAACTACAACAGTGCTCTGTGTTGGATCGCACCCCAGTCTGCGCTAACAAATGCGGATATTGCCGTCACGAGAACGGTGACACAGGAGCCCCTGGGGGCTATGATGTGGCTGAAGCGCGGCGAAGTTTTGGAAGCGCACGATATTTGGAGGCTGAATGACAAGGTAAGAGCCCTTACGTGAGCTCGTAGTAAGTGAGCCCGAAATGGAAGCTGACCATCCACAGATCAGCCAAAAGCCGTGCGGATATGACGAAATGTACGAATCGCTGGAGTCTTTTGTTCCCGACCTGAAGGCAAAGCTTGCGCTGTCACCCCCGGTAAATTCTCGACGGTCCGATAGTGCAGGCACTGTGATCGAGGGACTCGAATGGTCTGGAAGAACCGAAAGTCCACAAATAGATATCCTGTCCGTCTCCCCTGCTGGAGAAAGCTATACCGGACTCGCATGCTTTCAGATTGGTCTGGATTGCACATCCAAGGATGTCACGGACCTCGTCGAGGGCCAAAGACAAGTTAGAGACCTCGATTTGCTTCAACGCCTCAATGCAGAAGACCTTCGCCAAGTAACCGAGCCATTGCGCGCCTTGCTGAAGGCCCAGAACTCACACACCTATCTTTCGTCGGAACTGCAGTCAATAAAGGACTTGGTTGATCTCCTCTCGGTTTGCAGAGGTGACGACAATGACCGTCTTCGAATTTACGTCGGCTTGCATTCGGGCTTTCGCACTCGCCTTGGGAGTCAGATTTGGGGTCTGCACGATCTTGATTCCAGCATGGGCGTACTAAACATTTATCTGTCGGGAAAGACCCAAGATCGCACCGGCACCATTCTCCACACGTACCTGGCCAACAGAGGGTTCAGCCGCTCTCGCTGCTTCTTGGCAGAGATGGCCTTGGCCGCAGAGAACCAGACGCTATCGGAAACGTGGGGATTGCCTAAGCGCATGGTGGATGATATCGAACAGCTTACCCCGGCAGAAACTTTGGCCTGGCTGCGACGACTGGCCTTATCAAGCCATGATGACCTGATGAAAATGTCTTCCAAACTTTGCGCCTGTGGTGAATATCAACTTCTGGAAGCCCCAACCCTCGCACAACTCCGTGCTCAGTGCTCGAGTGAGTATCTAGATGGAGAGATCTCGGCAGCGGAGCTAGTCTCCTCACGCCTCGCGTGGCTCGGGGAACAGGGCTGTTGGTGTCCTGATGCCTCGGCTGCCGAAGCGCTGTTTCTCGAGATTGATGCTCGGTTGCCAGCTCTCCTTATGAACGGAGAGGCAGAGGTTCTCGACAAATTAGCCACAGTATTCGAGTCCATTCTTCAGAAGGGCACTATCGACGCGGGTGCCGATCTTCTAGCTCTGAGTGTGTTTTGTGCCTTCCGTCGGCTTGCTCTGAACGAGATCTACCTAGAAGTCCTGGACCGCAACCCCCTACCAAACCTCGAGCCCGTGCAAGCAGCATGCTTTGCTGAAATGTATGCCTGTGGTGCTCGCACGGATATGTACTTTGATATGACACCGAAACGCATGGGTAAAATCATCTGGCGTTGGTACCGCGCATATTATCACGAGCACCAGCCACCTCAACGAGAGGAGATTTTCACCGAGCTGCCGACGGCGTATGCCTCCATGAATGTGGATCTGGACCCAGAAGGGGAAAAGGAGACTGCATCGTGGCACTACCGACTCACATTTCTGGGAATCTTCGCTGTCCCTGCACTCATTGATGTCACCTTGTTGACAACGATCGGTCGAGGCCTTTATTTAACTACATATATGAGTGATATCGACAAGACACTCGCCACTACTGCGTTGATGATTGCCCTTCTTGTCTGTGGTGGGTTTGGTAGCTGGATCAGTTCCGGTGGAAGCTACTACTTGTACGCAATGGCGTTCCCAGCTATGAGCATGTTCATCCTTACCCGCTTTATTGCTGGGCTGGCTGTCGCCTTCGTCGGTGGCATCATCGCGCTGATCGTTGTTGGTGTGGTTAAGGGATTCGCGGCAGGCATTCTGTTTTTCCTTTACTTTTTCATGCTGTCTACGTACCTCATGACCTTGTCCGCATTGTCGGTCTATCAGCTGCCGGGATACCAATTCCAATCGGTGAGTTGATCATCCCCCTAACCCTCTGCCTCATATCCCAGTTCTTCACTGTTTGTGCAGGCTAACTAACTATGGCACCAGGGACGCACGACAGTCATGTGTTGCATCCCGATCCTCTTCATTTCACCGATCGTCACATTGTGGGTACATCGCGACTCGGTCATTTACCTGTGCATCCTGGGACTGTTCCTCGCTTGCCTCCTTCTGGGGGCGCGGCGGGTCATGGCTCGGTGGAACAGCTGGTATCTGAATATTCCTTGCGTCACGGATACGGAAATTGTCAATTGGTACACACAATCCACATTGGACCACGGATCTTCCACCGAGAAGGTGAAAGACGTTGGTGCAGACGCTCGCCGGGCCCTCCTGGCTAGCGTCCAGAAGGAGAATAAAAAATGGTTTTGGAGCAAGAAGACAACAGACCCGTTCATCGCCAAAATGGCCGAAGGCTATTCTTCCACAACCTTCCTGTTAGGATGGTACTGCCGCTACTCGAGAACCAAGATGCCTTTGGCGTACAGCCCAACATGGAACTTGCAACTCAAAGCGGCGGTTGATACCATGTCTGAAATGCAAAAGGGTCTGAAGATGCACAACGCGTTTCTTCACTGGCGCCACACCGGGTCTGATGTCTGGTGTGGAATCTTGTATTTTGTCGTCGCTCTGTCCGATAAGTGGTCTGCATTGCTAACAGGGGAATCGATCGTCGGTTTGTCTGCAGCTAACAGCGCCAAGTACCGCCTCACGGTCGGCTTTGCTCTCGGTTATTATCTCCTAGGCGCAGTCATCCTTGACGCCGTATCGCAGCCACTCTGGACCCTAGTCACAAAGGCGACTCCTCAGCCTGTCACCTCACTTGCCAGCCTTCGCCAGGTAACTTTGAATGATGCCAAGGCTCGACGGAGTCTTTACTGGAAGAACCTCATGAAATTCTTCTTTTTGCACATTTGGGGTGCAGCCATCACGATGGCCGTTATGTGGACGTTCGAGGGTTCCATGAGCTCCACCATCATGTACCTGTGCTATG